TGACACGCCAAATTTGCATCTTGCTATGCTGCCGAGTTGCCACGTCCACTGGGGTGCCCTGGCAAGGAATTACGAATTCTCTACTGGGTAGGTCTCATTCCAGATCCACAGGGTTTGCCTAGTGAAAAGGGCGCGTCGAGAGACAGCGTGGCATTTGCCGTTGCAAAACTTGCTCAGACTTTTGCTGGGTTGCTGTGAAGGAACTTCACTTAAGTTACCCTGATGAGAAGTTTTGATAGAAAGGTGCTGTTGACCATGCACCCATCTTACAATGTTGTGGCAACTTTTTTCACATGCCTCAACAACAACCCATTCGAGAGAGAGCCTCGTGCAGTTGCACCCTGCGACCGACACCTTCAGAGCAGCATGAGGGGGACTCGACTCGTTAACACAAATACAACATCATCAACCAACTTGCCGTGGATACGTTTCTTCGAGGTATGTGGATGGTTAAAAAAGGGCGGTTCTTACGGTAGCAACGTAGCAGGATGTATCCCGCAGTCTGTTCCATAATACAACCCCCTATTTCACGAGCTCACTACCTGGATATGAAAGCTGTTTGATACGCCCGCCGGTGCTGCTTTGGGGGCGGGCACAAGGGTCAGCATCTAGCTGAAGCCCTTGTTCGGCCTCGCAGGGCCTCGCACCTGTTTGTGCACAGTTTTTTTCACATGGGACCTGAAGAAGCGACAAATCAGAAGGAGAAACTTGCTATGCTGCAGACTTGCCCACGTCCACTGGGGTGCCCTGGCAAGGAATTACGGGGTCCCTACTGGGTAGGTCTCATTCCAGATCTACAGGGTTTGCCCATTGTGGAGGGCGCGTCAAGAGACAGCGTGGCATTTACCGTTGCAAAACTTGCTAGGACTGTTGCTGGGTTGCTGTGAAGGAACTTTCTCTTAAGCTACCCTGATGAGAAATTTTGATAGAAAGGTGCTGTTGACCATGTACCTATGTTACAATGTTCTGGTAACTTTGTTCATGTGCCTCAACAGCAACCCATTCGAGAGAGCCTCGTGTAGTTTCACCCCGCGACCGACACCTTCAGAGCAGCATGACAGGTGCTCGAGTGGTTAACACGAATACAACATCATCAACCAACTTACCGTGGATACGTTTCTTTGGAGTATGTGGATGGTTAACAAAGGGCGCTTCCTATGGAAGCACAGTAGCAGGATGTACCCCGAGGCCTATTCTATAATAGAAGCCCCCATGTCCACTAGCTAGATTTGAGAAAACTCTTTGAAACGGGTCGCGACCCTCCAAATTCCCAAGTCCTACGCCCCAAGCTGTCAACTATTGCTGTAGCACACGTGTTGCTTCGGTGCCAATGCACGGTGCGGGATCTAGCTGGAGACCCTACATGGCCTCGTGTGTGGATTTCTCCCAGCTGTGGTCTTAATACAGACACTGTCAGCAGGCGTTGTGCGGGGACCTGAAGGGGAGACAAAGAAGAGTGAGAAATCCGTGAAACTCTGAAAGTGCATCTTGTCATGCCGCAAACTTGGGCCCACATCCACTGGCTTGCTTCTGAGCGATGAGCGAGACCTTAAAGCAGCCCTCAGCGCTGCGGAGCTGTTGATGTATATGATGATGAGCGCTGGGCAAAAGGGCCCCCTTGGTTATCCAGGATATGGAAGGATCACCGGTGGATGCCCTTACAGGGGACGATATACAGATTCTTTGTGAGAAGCCCTCAAAGGGGTTATAGCGTGCATAAGAGTATGACCCTCATGAAAAACTACAGTTTCTACCTGCGACAAAAGACCTGCAAAAAGACCAGCTTAGATTTTGCTATGTTGCTGCAGGATCATCGAAAAGGTTACCCTAAAGAGGAAGCCAGGATACTTAACGAACATCCGTGACAAACAGCCACTGAAGTTAAGGTCTCAGTAGGCAGGAAGCCATTTCTTGGTATATGTAACACCACTAGAATTGAAGGCTTCATTCTTTTTTGGGCAAAGGTATTCGGGAATCGCGAGTTTCCCTCACAGTAACCCGGCGGCCCAGTGGATTCTGTGCTTTGTCTTCAGTATGCGTGAGCAAGGCGTGCTTTTTCGTCGGCCATGCTGGAGACTCCACCAAGCTGAACGTCCCGTAGCCTAAGGGAAGTGGAGGAGCATGCGCAAAGGAATATTTCAAGCTTGACGCAAGGATGCTTTTGAGAACATCATGTGGATTCGCTCCGCCCTTCCACCCGGTGTCACGAGGACGTGAATCCAAAGACCTTTGAACAGTCCATATGAACAGTCGCAAGGATGTCGAAACAAGCAAAGCTCCATGCAAAGGTGCTAACCATCATGAATTCTTAAGCTTGCCAAAGCCATCTTCTCCCCTGAAATCAATACCCCGCCACTGTTCGTGAACACAAGAGTCCCCTACTATACACTCAAGTTTTTGAACCTGTTTATTCCTGGGGGTGTCTGGGTGGTGCTTCGTTAGGGGGAGTCAATACGAGCATCGCCCAACCAGTTTCCATTTCCTCTTCTATTTGGGCTTCAATTTCATCTCTTACTGAAGGGTATTCATAATGAAGATGTTAGACTGGGCAAACTAACCTCACCCAACCTCATCCCAAATGGTGGTTTGTAAAATCTCCAAAAACAGCCTCCTGGCTGGGTTAGCCAGTTTGGAAGGATTGCTGTGGACGGCTGAATACTTAGTAATGAACTCCCATCATAGTTGTAATTGTAATTCATCGAGTTAGAGTATGATGCCCCCCAAACCCCGCTTTGAATTGCTTAGGCCCCTACATGACTCATGGCACAATGGAACCATGAGCCATTCTGAAGATGGCAAATGTAGGGCCTAAATAATGTGCACAGGGTTGGGGGTTATCTAATGCTGCACTTCTGGAGGTATATGGGAAACATCTTGGGAATTATTCAGGCTTCTACGGTATGTCTGGTTTAGGTGATTCTCAAGCAAAACAGGGTGGCTTCTCCTCTGTCGTGGCGTGTTTAAAGCATCACGTCACAGGGACGACACCAAAAAGTGGCAAAACTTCAGGCAGTATTGCAAGCCGGAACGTGTGAACACTTGTTTCGGGCTCTTTCTTCATGATTCATGCCAAATCACGTGGCCAAGCCCGGGCTCGCAACCTTTCACCCGAAATCCCAATCCTAGATCCTGACATTCGGGCACATTGCAGGGCGAGGGTGCGCATGCTGAAGCCCTGACATGAATCAAGTATCTGAACCCTAGACACAGCCTGAGGCAGGATGGGTGCGTCCATGGCCCAAATACATCCAAATATTATATCCTTTCTATAAGTCGAGGCAGGACTCCCAATGTTGCAACCCTCAAATCCCTTGGAAGCTTTTGCAGGTGCAGATATGGGTTGCTGCCAGGGCAACTTTGAACAGGCTCTGTTGGCTTTGGGTTTGGGGTCATGCCGGATTTACGGATAAGGGTTTCGGATGTAGGGGTTTGGGTTGTTGCTACGACCGCCAACGCCTCGAAATGTGCCTCAGTGCTCCAAATCAAACCTTGGTGGGGCATATGACCAGTACCACGAGGTCATGGTATCAACAGTTATGTAGAAGCCCGCAGAAGCAGCAACATTCTTCCATCATCTTTCTCTTACTGGTACACTACCCTATACCCAAAAGCCCCACTCTAAACATTTAGGCCTCTACAGTCGCCATTCATTGTTTGGTTTGGCAAGTTAGGTTCTAGAAGGAATGAGGGGCTGTAGGTTTACCCTCCGTCAACCCCCCATGGTACCCGATACGTTAAACAGGACAGCCGTCTTTACGTGAACCCCCCTGAGTTCCATCTTGTTTCGAGCGGGATATGTCCTGATGTTGGGGTGTTGGGTCTTAGGTTATGGCCTAAGGCTGAGGGTCTGAGAAGATCCCTGACAAAAAAAGAGCCGACAAGTATCACAACGTGCCTCTAGACTGGCGCGCTCATTGTTCATCCTGGCTGTTCAGTGGTATTTGGCATCTGCTGCGTCAAGTTGTGTCACTCTGTTGACATGATCAATACCATGCCAAAACACAGCGCTAGACTAGGGCATCCGTAGCTCTGAAGGAGTGCTCTGTCGCATCCATGCGTGCAACTGTGCGTGGTGGTCTCTTGAATTCGCAGGGCTCAAGGCCCATGTCCATTACTGAACCGCTCAATGGTAATGATATGCACCCTTCTCCATACAGATGAAATTCAGTTCCTGTGGCAGACAAGTCAGCAATCGGAATTTCGGTCTCGAAGATTACCCGCCTGTAATTCCCAGCAGGAAGTGTGTATGTCATGGTCGTCTTTCACCGTGATCAGACATCCTGCTAGAAAAGTCACATGGACAACTTTTCATACAGCTTGCGCTCACCTAAACCATGGCTGTTACACCGCCAACGATTCTCATCTTCCCCACAAGAATCAAATCGCAATACCGAATCTTGGTGCCGCGTCTCACATGGATGCCCTGTGTCGGCTCGATGTGGATCCGGCTCGCTCTAGCAGGCAGGACTCATGTCAACGACTGCACATTCAGACAGACTTGAGATCTTGACGGCTACAGTGGTGTTCCGGAGGTTGAATCCTAGTTGAGAATTTTTCGGGTGCAACTATGGCTATGTTGCTTCGAACATTCCGTGCATCGGGAATCACGGTCTTTGAGTTTCAGGCATCTTTATTCTTTTGTCACACATGCCCCAGTCTACCAGTTTGTGCTTTTTGTTCATCGCATGTTCTGCATGGGCTTCTTCTTTTTACTTATGGACTTCAGCAGTCTTGTCTTCCGATATCGACGGACGTTGTTTCTGGCATGGGGAGATTGCCTCGCCGACGGTTCACAAAGAAAACCCTGCTTTCGAGTGACAGTTGAGACGACGGGATCCTACTTTTTTTCGAGCCTCCACCAAACCAACATGGAATCTCAAAAGCTGCTCGACTGTAAAGAAAGGGGTGCCCTTCAGGGTTCATCTCGAGAAACTAGCAGAGGGGAGAGCCGGGGAGAGCTAACATTGAACATCTTTGGAGCTCGGCAGGCTTATGTTGTCATGGCCTTGCTTCAGACAGCAGCGATGAGTGTCATGGAGGCACCTGCTAAAAGTCTCCCAGTTGAAGTTGTCGTCGCTTTACTTCCTGGTGCTGAGGGAAGCTTTGGAATTGGGAGTCGAGAAGAGCATGGGAACCATTAATCGCTTGCCCCTAACATTAGGTTCCCCCATGTTAAATACGGATTCGCTGGAAAATCCTTAATAAAGCCGTAATTTCCAATCGCCCATACTAAGGCCCTAATTTGCAATAGTCCCGAATAAGGCCCTAACTTCAAATAGCCTCTAATATTGAAATATGCCCTTATTAGATTTAATAGAATTTTCTACGATTCTAATCAGATTGGAATAGGACCCCATTATATACACACTCCCTTAATGTTCGGGTCGTACGATGAATACACCCCCCCCCAACATTAAATACGGGTTGGAGCATATAATATGTACATTAGCGCGGGAGCACATTTGATATTAGGGAAAGGGTTATATAACTTAAGGCTTACCAGTGCTCAAGGGTGACGTTGGGGAGGCAATATGGACGCAACACGGACATCATTATAGGGTTAACTAAGGATGAGTATACGATTCCACACCCCAACTGCTTTGAGCACCAGTAAGTCTAGAGCTTTCAGGACCGGGTGGGCATGTTTCAGCGTGACTTGCGCCTCAGGGATACGATTTCATGTTGACATTCTTGCGAGAAAAAGCTCGAAGCATGGCCATGCGAGCGGATGGATGAGAGGGTTTAGGATGCTATTGTCAGCCGCAGGCGGAAAGTAGCTGGCAACTAAGCACCAACAAAAGCCATCCCCAAATATGAGCTGCTTGCTCAACTTTTCAGCAGGTTTAGAGAATGAGGCTTACAACGCCTTGTAGCGGCAACAGGTGTCGGGTTTCCATATACCGCCAACAAACCGGCAGCAGAATGCCTGGTACCAAAACCTCGTTTAAAATAGGGGCCAGGGAGTTGTTTGAACCTTGGGCTCCAAACCTTAAGCACTGAGTCGTAGATCTAGGCCCGCTTTGCGGAAGCCAGGTGAGATGCAGCTGCTGCAGCATAAGCTGGAGGTCGAAGCTCGGCCATGTGGTTGAGGGTTTACACTGCTATGGTCTCCAACATCCTGCAAGTCATAGGGTATATGGCTATATGTGTTGGTGCAAGATTTGGCTGAGGACTTAGGGTTTGGTGGGGAGGGGCAGGGGGTGGGGGGGAAACGTCAGCATCACAAGGATAACAGCAGATTTACGTGTCATTGGGCCCAATGTATAGGAGCCTTGATTTTGTGGTTCAGGATTTGGACTTGGGTGTGTAGTAAAGTGGTGTAGGATTACGGGCTTAGGGCTACGTTAAACGCAACAGGAAGTTGTGCAGGCTCTGTTTCTGTAATGAAGCTAACAGAAATAAGGGCGACAGTAAGAACAGTAGACGCTGTGCTGCCTAGTAGCTTAGCTGGAATTATGGCGCACTTGCGAGAAGGTTCAGGTTGTGTGGAGACTGAGGAGATACCTGGATCTCCAAGCGTAGGAAGACACCGGCTCAGGAGGCTTAACTGTGGCCTATGCTTGTCATGGGCAGGAGCCTCTTCCAAATGTGCTGCAATGGCACGGCTTCGCAGTCTTAAGGTGTGAAGGGGGTAAGGCAGGAATTATTCGACCCGAAGTGGCGGTCATGAACGTCGTTTGCAATCCCATCGTGCCCCTTTGATTACAAGAGTCTTGTAGTCATATACGGCGGTGGAACCTTTGTGGGGTCATTAGGAACCTTGCAAGCATTTGTAGGATTGGTTTCCAAATCGTGCATTTCAATCTCTTTTTGAAACAAACCCCAACCTGACCCTTCTTGCAAGTGCGCCATACTTCACCTAAGCTACTAGGCAGCGCAGCATTGCTTTGGAGCTCCAGGTATCTCCTCAGTCTACTGCTGGATGGAGGTAATTGACTACAAGTACGCAGGGTCATACATAGGATAGCTACAGCCAACCCCAAAGGTTGATTTGCTCAAACCCGAACAAGCCCTAAGACACCAAGTCCTAGACCCAGAAGCCTAAATATACTCTGAACTCTGAACCTGGAACTTCAAACCTGTTCCTGGGTTTGAAGGGCAGAGCGATGGCCTGCCATGGCACTTTGCCGCCTCCCTGCATCGTCCAAGCAAGTCCAATGCCCAACCTTAAACCCTGCACCCAGAGAGTCGACTTTCTGTTTTGCGTTTAGGCCTGGGCACGGGTAGCGAGCCGGTAAACCTGCTTTCTTTCGACCGACAGTTGCCAGTCGCAAGGATCAACTGGCAACCTCACACCTTCTTTCCCTGAGCTTGGCCGGCTCGGAAGAGACAAGGCTGAAGGCGATGTCGCGAAGCTCCCCAGACCCCAGAACCCAAACCCATAAACCCCAAAAGCAATGAATCCCTGAAGCTAAATACCTCCAAGTGGATCTCAAGGCGGCGCTGGCGATAGCGCCTGAGCTTGAGGCCGCTGAGCCGATCACGTGGCTGCAGCTTGCCTCAGCAAGTTACTTACTGGTGCCTACGGGACATGTACTGGCAAGCTCTGTATCGTTTGGGTTTGAGGAATGGAAGAGAGGATGGAAAGCTTGTGCTAATTAGGATCTAGGACTCAACGGAGAGCATGGGGTCCTTTAAAGGATGGTTCTAGGAATGTTTCTAGGAATGTATAGGTTTCAGGGTTTAGGGATTGAGCGTGTTGGGTTTCTGGGCTGGGGTTCGGGGTTAAGATTCAGCTTTGATACAGGGCTCAGGCTCAGGTGTTGGCTTCGTGGTGCCCTGTGTTGATGAAATTGCTCCCCCTTACTAAATCTATATCAAGGACCCCCCCAAAAAGGCACCCGTTCGATTGACAACATTCCATGTTGTGATATTGACCGTATTTGCCTCAGATCTGAGGTTTCAAAGACATGTCATGTGCCGTCTGGCACAAATGGGACCCCAACAGGGCTCTACAAAGACTGCCAGTCATTCCTTTCAATCAGGGGCGTATACGGGGTTCTATGTCAGCTCTGGGAGTCACAAAGGCTTGACATGTGGATCTTGACTGAGAACTTACGGTGACTTACAATATCAAAACTAGGGTCCGACTAGAGTCTACCTGGACATTGTGGACCCTTTGAAAGGTCCATTACGAAGAGTCCGGGTAGGTTGAGGATTGGAGATCCTGGAGGGAGAATTTTGGGATGTATGATGTAGGCTTGATGGACTTACATGTGCTGAAGGCGGAGTGGCGGAGTGAATGATATGAGGATTATTCTGGGGATCGACTCTTCTGCTTTACGCCTTTTTTTTGGCTCCAATTCTGTGACTGGAGGGTTCAGGGTCTCAAACTTGAGGCAATGCTTCAAAACCTGAGAGTACTGAGAAATCTGGCTGTTGTACCAAGTAGTCGCAAGTAGAGCCCTACGCCGAACCTACCTGCGCTCTTGCAATTGTTTGTAAAACGGACCTGTGGAGGTTCATAGGGCGCATAGTATGCTTCTCGATCCCTTCCGCTTCCCTGTTCACGACCCCACCCTTCCTCTCCCGCATCTCGCAACTCTTGTACAGGGCCCAAGCAGCAGGTTTCAAGGACTGGATTTTTGAAATGCTTCTCTTGACGAATTCCTTTAGCAACCCAAGGAGTATACGATCCCTGGCAGTACGTTTAGCCTTGGGACCTTAGGACGTAGGATGGCATGTAGCCTCAAGCCAACCTTTGAAGGGGGGCCTCGTGATAACATCAGCACAGCTTCTTCTTCCAGTTCTTCTGCAGCTACATTTGCAGGAATGGCGGGTCCCGCTCTGAATCTTTAACTCTCTCAAAACCCCACATCTGTTTCTCTTTTCAGGCGTCTCTTTGTCTTTGCCTGGAACCAGCTTTCACCTGGACTTGCAGATGCCCCACCGGTCTTATCTCTTTCACACTTTTCTCCGAATACAATTATCTCCTGTCTTCATCGACAGCTTTTGAGGTGTTGATCATTAGTTTCTAGAACCCGGCTGAACAATGCCAGAGCTCTCACGTGCCCAGAACTTGTAAATACCTTAACGGTATGATCTCAAAGCTAAGGCACATTCCCAAATGCGGGACCTCATTCTTGATTCTCGGCCCCCACTGGCATGAACAGTTCTCAAGGGCTCCAAGTTGAGTGGCCCCTGCAACGAGGATTCTTCTCGTAACGCATAGCCTTTGGATCCAGAAAGTCTATTCATTCATTTGCCAGGGCGCCATGCGGGCTCGTACGTAGAGCTTATTTCTCTGCTTGAGTTCTTTGCGGGCGCCAGTCGCCGTCTTGCTGTCTTGGCATGCTGCCATCCCATCGGCTAGAGTTGGGCTTAGGGTTTGGGGCGCGGAGTCTGCGAGGACACGAAACAGAAGCATGAGGCAAACCTCAGACCATTCCATACGCATGGACTGCTGCAACTTTGCCCGCACCATTGTGTTATTGTGCGGGAAAATTTGCAAGGGTACTCAGAGAAACATAGAATTCGCACGGCGGTGACTGTAGAGCCCCAGTGCGCAGGGGTCAGAAAGGGTTGTAAGCCCGAACCGTAAACTCATGGAGCAAGCTTCATGTGGCTTTTTGCTAGGCGTGTTACTGGCTGGTGCTTTGATCTACTGCGGCTTAGGGTGCGCGATCCTGAGCCCCCTGAAGGCACGAATCCAAATCTCCAAACCCAAACTGTAAACCTGCAAACCCAAATCCTGCACAGCTACCCCACCTTCAAAGCATCTAAACGCAAACTTGTTAAACTCCTCCCTTCATGAAAGCACTTGGAATGCCATCGCCTGAGGAATGCATTGTCCCTCGGCTTCCAGGAAATGCTCCAGGCTTCTTTTGCCTGCCTTGGTTTAAATCTCAGGGTGAATGGTCAGGCTTCAGGGATTTGCACGTTGTATCTTCACGTTTTCGAGCTAGGGGACATCAAGTTCAAGAAACAACCATGTGTGTCCCGAAATTGTCCGACGCCCTGGGTTCATAGACAAAGACATAGGCTCTAGAACAAGGGTTCACCGTGGGCGTGTGCCCGGACGTAATGTGTAGGATGTCTCAAAACCTCAGACAGTGGAAAAACAAACCCATTGTGTAGCAGGCGCTTGCCTTCATGGAAGGCTGTTTGGGCAGTAGATATGTTAGTGGCATGTGCGAAATCAACAGGGAGGGCAGTGGTTTTGTGCACGTCTCGGAGTTCATGCGAGGCGAACTACATGCAAACGCTTGGAGATCCCATGTTTTTAATGCTTTAGCTTCTTCACGTGTCAGCAACGTGTACATGCTAGGACTAAGCATCGCAGCACGGCATGACTCTCCACAGAGGCCCGCGAACCAAAGCTTGTTTACTGTTTTGCCTGGATTACTGGGGCGAAGCTTGGACTAATGAGGCGATGATAAAATTCAATCAGAACTCCTCACACGTTTGGATTTATGGGGCGAAGCTTGGACTAGTGGGGCGTAGCCTGGACTTATGGGGCGAGGTTGGACTAATGGGGCGAAGCTTGGACTAATGCGAAGCTTGGTCACCACATTCACACTATTTCTGGCCAGGGTTGTGCGAACAAGAGTGTCGAATTGTGCTCAAGCCACATAGCTGCGCTCTCGAAGCCATCCTCTGTGACCCAAACAATCACGGAAGGAAAGCATGCAACAAGTCAACCCTATCTGTCCGCGATGTGACGCAAATCGACCCCATCCGCTCCGGGCAAACGTCCAGGGCGGATGCTAGAACAAGCTTTGATATCAGGAGCATATTCTGTTGAATAGCGAGGCAAGGGGAAGTCTCGCATCCTGAAACTTAAAGCCATGAGCCCCTGAAAAAAAGGTTGCTAGACTTCTTCTGGTAAGGAGCAGTTCCAGTAAGTGCCCCCTCTCGAGAAGTAAAGGTATTGCTTTGCCCGCAAACAGGGGTTTCCCATCCTATAATGGTTTTGAGAACCGCCTCCTCCTGGCGGTTTTTAGTGGAAAGTGGGAGTGGATCCCTATGAGAATCCTTCGAAAACTCCTTATAGTCCTTGGGTTCACTACCCCATTCGCGCTTAAGCACCAGCAAGCCCCAAACCTTAAACACACTCTCTTGCGGTTTCCAAGTTTCTTTGCCTGACCCTAAATTTCCCTCAAGCGCTTGAGAGCTGTGGCACCGAACCCAGGATCCATTTGCCAGCCGTTTGCCCTGGCGTGAGCCACGGATGAACGAAGGGAAGATTTTGTTTCCGGCCCCAACGTCCAGGGGTAAGACCAGTAGGTTAAATGGGTCCTCGTAGGAATCAGAAAGGCTCTTTTGAGAAACGGGAACTTGTCTTCAGTCCCTTGGTTGTTCCATGTTGTTCCTGCATATTCAGTTTTCTGGTCTGTTCATTTTTGAAGAAGTGAGTGGCTCTGGCGTTTTCATGTCATGGATCATTATGTGTGCTTTCTCATTGCTTTCCTGACAACTCTGCTGAGGAACACATCCTATCGAGTAGACGAAGATTTCCTGGGCGAGCGCTTCGAAGATGAGTTCTTTCGGCAATGCCCGGAGGTAGCGCAGGGATCTTTTGATGTTGCTCAGTGCGTTCAGTACTTGAGGGTCAATGTGCGGGGTTTTGGATGCGAGACGCAAGCCCCAGAAATTTCACCGCTACACCGCTACATTAGGGGAGACCTTCCCCAGTGTGCCCCACACCCCGTCGTTGAGGAAAATAAATTCAATACCGCTAGGCACACAAATGCGACTGTGGGCAAAAAATCCTCAATTCGGAGATGTTAGGGTCCCTACGTCCGCAAGGTGTGCGACGAAAGCAAGTTCAACTGCGAGCCCCTCCATCATGCCCCTGTGCAGAGGGAGACGTCAGGTTCCACTCAAGCCTAAAAGGCTGAGCATTTCAACTTCTAAGTCCGCTGACCATTTCTGTAGGGAATTCTGGGGGATATTGGAGGTGCTGGAGAATCATTCAGTGTAATCTTCTCCCCCCCCACCCCCTAATGTTGATAATTTCTTTTAGGAGCCTTTATTTCTGTGGGAAGGGAGTGCAGGTTATCCAACTTGCATGTTGCAGCTCCTACTGCTTGGAGCTTTCTCAAGCCGAAAATGGCCCGAAACAACCGATGCAGGGCCTGAAAAACTGGCGCGGGCCTTGGGTCCATGATGCTACAATTATCTGAGGACTGTTAGGGCATAAAGTTGGTAATGACTCGTGCGACTACATTAGATAGCCCTTATCAGACATCCGTGCAGTCCGTCACAATCACTTACTTGTATAGCCCCTTCTGAGCGCGTGATCGGTCGAAAGGTCTTACAGAAGACATCATTGCCTGAGGATCCCGAGTTCAGTGCTTTAGGCTTTTTTGGGTCAGAGTGGAATGTGACATGTAGGGTTTCTCCGCATAATTCCTGTCAAACCTCACCAAAAGGGAGTCCTAGCACTCCCAAGATTATCCCCGTGGCTAATTACATGGGTCAGCAAAGTCTGAATGCTGAGAACCAGAGCAGGAAAAGTAGCAATAACAAGCCAGAGAATTGTAGCAGTGGGCTGGATTTCCAAGGATGGAATCGGATCCAGATATGAGACAGAGCTCAAAGGCATCTGGCTAGTGATTTTTGAGGACAGTTGTCTCTATTTTGTGACATAGGCATGCATCTGGATTCTTTTCTGGGTACACGGGAGTTGTGTTGAGGTGTTTTGTGTAAGTGATTCCAAGACCGCGAGCCTGCACCAAAAGGAAACTTTGTCAAACAGTGCTCATGTTCGCGAAGCTTCACACAGAGTGTGGGGTCTGCAGGTTGGGAAAAGAGCCTGCATTGAAACAAAGAACGAAGTTACCTGTTGTCAGAATCCTTTACGTAAAAGCTGTGGATGTTTGGTTTCGCCATGTCTGCATGTCGAAACTTGCTTCTGCCATGGTGCCAAGTTTGCTCAACATGCGAAATGCCATTATGTACATGCCACCTCATGTGCGGAAAACATCATCATCATTGTCTACCTTCGAGGGCGTTGCGAGGTTGGTAACATTGCCTGTAGGGCTGACTGTTAAGAACTGGATTGAGGTGTTGTGTGCGTTGTTTAGCAGGAGCCGTCCCTCAGCAATCGCCGACCACGTCCCCACCAAAGTCACCCCAGAATGCGCAAGCTTATACCTGAAACCAAAGCGCGCCCAATAATCCGAATCCACCTGTGTAACCCGGAACCCTCACACCTCAAGAAATAAGCCGTAACACTAAATCTTTTCTGGATGCTCGCTAGGGTTCCTGGGTTCTTACGCAGGAGTATGTGCTTCGCAAAGCCGCCTTGGGAACAGCTGGATGTCGGGATGATATAAGGTGATGGGTGGTCCTTCTTGAAGATTTCATGGGGATACTTTTCGAGAAGCTCCCATCTAGCTACAAAAGTTTAAAGGTGTAATGTGCGCCATCTCAGACACCACGTTGACGGAAAAGTATTGCACCGGCAAGGATGCCTTTGATTTATGATATTACAAGATCCACAAACCTTGCGCCATGTGACCTTTTGTAGGGTAGCATTTTTGGGGATGGGACTGTTGTGGGTCCACGCTTTTTGACATGTCTGCCCGACTGTTGCCAAAGAGCAAGATTATCACGGCTGTGCACACTCCTTGAAGAAAGCATATCCTATTGTGAAAGTCACACATCATTGGGACATGTGTCACAGATGTAAGCAGGAATTCTTAGATCTTAAATTCCTGTTCTGCTCATTTTTCTTTGTAGAAATTCCTCACTAAGTGCTTTAAACTTATATCTGACTTCTCAAGTTTTGCGCTTCTTTTATGTGTATATATATATAAGCCCCGTATCTATTACCATTACATGGTTGTTAGTTCCTGTTGATATCTGACTCATATTCATTACGGAATTGTGTAGAGAAGCCCCCGGCTTGCGAATTCTTCTTTAAACGTCGAATACGTTTAGCATGGGATGGATGCATAGAAAATAAGGCAACGAGGAGCGCGGGAATTAAGAGTTTATGTTTGTTAATTTGCGCTTCAATGTCACTGTAGCGATGGTTTTTGTCAAGTGGATTTTGTCAGGGTTCTTTTTGTAAGAGAATTGCAGAATTATCGTGCAAATTTGTAAGCAATTTAGTAATGGTTTTTCATGAGGAAAATGCATGGCCAAGAATTTGAGATTACATGCGAATTACGTAGCGCTTGTAGTATCTTTCAGAAACCTCTGAAACATTGCACGTATTTTTCGTATTGAGGACAAGAAAATACTGGCAGCGTTGTGATGATTTCGATTCTGGCACCAAAAAAAGAGCTTTTAGATTCTATGGTGAACAGGGAGTTTTGTAAGAGTATATGAGAAATATCCTCAAAAATTCGTATCCAACTTAGTAAAGGTTCTTAACAAGGAAAATGTGGGGCCACGGATTTGAGACTTCCCCCTTAAGATAGAAACATCTTTGGTGCAGGGAAACAAAGTATTGAAATGTTCCATTTCTGACACGACTAACCTTTAGACTCTTTGCATACTAAGGCTATGAAGAACGAGCAAACCAAATGTAAAATCCCCCACCCAGATGCACATGAGATTCCGTGGAATATCTTATTTTATACAGTATAACGTTTGAGTTGTTTAAACTATTGAATTCTAGTTTATTCTAAATGTTTTACTCGTATGAATCCAATTATCGAAGTTAATTGTATCGATTTACTCATTTTTCGGTTTTTCGGCCCAAAACAACATCACCTCCTCAATCAGGCCGCCAGTAAAGCCAAACCTCTCTGCGCACCAACAGAATAGAAGTCGCAATACAGGTACAACAGAAATAGAATTGACTTCAGAAGTGGAAGCTCCAGTTCCTTGCATGTGTTCTTTTTGATCCCATCGAAATTCAATAGAACCAAATGGAGCTTGAGTTGAATCCTCATACGGAGAAGGCTTCATGCTTTGAATTAAGACACGCTGTTTTTGCATCTTGGTTTTACATACTACACTATGTATAAGGTGCTGTGCGGAACCAAGTCTATGTTCAGGAGAGAGATCTCTCTTCTCTTCACGAAGTAATAGTACATAAAAGCGGACGTATCGCAACAAATCGAGAAGTTTGATAACAAATGCGCTAGAACACGGGAGCTGTTCTAGGACTGAATGAGCGTTTCAACATAATATCAAAACACGACGAGATCAAGGTCTGTAGTAAGCGTACATGGAAAATGCGTAAGACTAAACCTGAACTCAAGACAAGACGAGCTCTAGGCCTGTAGTAAGTGTAAGTTGGACAATTCGTAAAATGACCGAAAATTACCAAAACAACACAAAAACAACAGTCCCCTAGTCCTGCGGCTGCAGAAAATTTTATACTCACCCAAAATCAACCAAAAAAACGACACCATACTCTTGGGATACGGGAAATATGGTACCATGTTTTTTGTTTGTGTTTTTGTTGTTCTTGTTGAGTTTTTTGTTCAATTTCCATTTTCAGCAGCTCCAGAAATACGGGACGGGAGTTTTCTCCGTTGTTTGCTGTTGTTTGGTGTTATGGGTTCGGGTGTTTTGTTTTTTTTGAAATCATTATTTTTTTTTGTCATTTTTCGTTGATTGAGTTTTTGTAAGCATCTACCAGTCCTATCGGTAATTTTCACGGTCCAGGGCAGTAGTGATCCCCAACATTCCCTAAAGTTCCTTGGTGTACCTCAAGGATCCCGGAGCTTCCCTGGGTACCTCCTGGCCTAGAGCCACTTTCTTGAAGTATGCAATCTTCCTTGGGAGGTCACTTGGTGACCATGATCCGGGAACCCCAACAACGCATTCTCTCAGCGAATCTTGGACGTGAAACTAAGCAAATTTGAGGGGAGTTTGGGGTTAAGGCTTAGGGTCCAAGGTTTCAGGATCAGCAGTTTGGTCTTAAGCTTTCACATGTGGGGTTTGCTGGATGGACTGGGATACGCCATGTTCTCCTTGCACTTTTGCTCAAGACCGATGTTCAGGGCTTCCTCAGACCACAGGATGATGCCGCGAGTCCGAACGAAAATGAGCCCGTAGCATTGCAGCATAAGAGAAAAATGAAAGCCGTCCAGCTTTTTGTGATAGATTTCTTTGCCATTCTTCATGGGGAACCATGGGTTGCCACGTTGTTGTAGCTTCCATTTTCTGCTTCACCTCTCATCACATCATTGTGTGAAAGCTGATTCTCTTTTTGCTCTAGGCATGGAGACTACAATTTAAGTTGAAAGTGAGTTAGATGCCGTGGGAGTGTGGATTCACTAAGTGACAACATGGACCTGTAGTGAGACGGATGCTGACAGAAATTGTTAGCTCGGGTTGCTGTGCACAGACAATCCTTGATTTCAACAAAATTCTATGACAGGTTCCATGCCTGCTTAGGGAAGCCTGCAGTTGCAGTCTCATATGGTAGGGAAGATGGGCTGGCCCCGAATTTCAAATTATCCGTCAAAAGGACCGCAGTAATCAGCTCATCAAAGCCACTTCATCAACATATCCCCACAAGATTCCGCATAAACTCCTTGCAAAGCCTTGTGCCCTGGTTGAGCGAGTTACTCGGGCACTCGAGACCTTCATGCAAGCTAGTTCTGGAATGTTTTGTAATTGGTAACCAGTAGTCGTAGAAAAGCAGTTCTTATTTTGGTAAGGCTCGGCGGGTAGCAAAAAACGTCCTCAGAAGCAAGATGGAACGCCCACACTTGGATCCACGATATGACTGAGGGTATAATCTAAAATTAATGCGCATTGGACTCCCTTCGAAGCTGGTGCAGGTTTCATGATCCAGTGTGGAGGCATGGCTCCTTCACAGCTGATGCGCGGGGGCCCTACCGTAAGTGCGGGTCAAAGGGTTTAAGAGTCTGGGAAATGGCTCAGGCTTGAGATAGTTGATAGAGGCTGATAGAGTTCGTGTACATACATATACGTCAAGATTGGGAATGGGTATTGTTGTGCCGGGACTGGGGAGATAATTGAAACGCAGGGAGGGATCAGGGTTTAGGGTGAATTTTGCATGCCATTCCGTTGATGCAGATTGCATCAAGGCCTCAGGAAGAGCGTTTCTGTAGAGCACCCAAGCCCTGATGATAACTTCTTGGACACAGAGATTCGTGTTCCAGGCCCAAAGTGCGTTTATCATCGTGCAATCATCAGGCATACGAATGCAAGCTGAGGAGGGGCACTTCATGGATGGTTGGAATCGGGCGAAAACTTGCTTCCCACGAAAGTTTTGGGGCTGCATGCAGGGCCCAAAAGAGCAATCAATTCAACCAGCCTAGATGGGGGACCCACAGACCTATGTTGCAACGAGGCTTGTCGCCCTGAAGGCACTTCAAAATCTTGGCGCGTAACACCATCCTGTTCCATCTAATGAGACCGGCTGGCACCGTTCAGCAGCTGCCCTAGATCTACAAACTTCCACGATGAAGATGCTGTTGATAAGAAGAAATCCTGCACCTTCTGGAGTCTTTAATTCATTAGAGTACAATATTAGCTTTGCTAAAACAAGAATGAACATAAAAGTAACAGCAGAAGTGATTGTAGCAGTGCTAGTCGTAATAGTATGAACTTTTATTCTTCCATCAACACAGACACAGCCCAGGGCCAAATACGCGGAAAAGCAGCGAGGCAGCTGGGTGTTGCATGATTACAGAACTCATGTAGGTAAACGCACGAGGATTACATAGGGATCATATAGAGGTTGCCATACGGGTTTTGATAGCCACAGCATCCAAAGAAGGACCGTATAACGATCACCTGACTACAAACGAGTCGAAATTTTGGGGGTTGGGGCTACCAATTTCTATTCATGGCCTCGAGATGGCAACGCCAGGCTGCTGTGGAGTGTGCAAAGTCCATGCTTTAGAGGTTGAGGGTTTAGGATTCAGGGTTGAGGCATTTTAGGGTCTTCAAAGCCAATTTCCAGACCCGAAAATAGGTGAATCCTTGTTATGGGGACTCCGGAAAAGGGGCCTCACTCTCTGGATACACACAGGGAAAGCGCCTCCGTCATCTTGTTTCAATCCTAGTTTGAGACTCTCACGTTCAGGAGAGAGTGCTGTCCTTTTACTTCAGTGGTTTTGCATGACGGGTTACTTGCAAGGACTGTTGCTACCCAGAGCGGCATGTCTCAATCACTAATTTAACATGGGCAGCCCACTGATTACGCAGTATACCATGACTCGTAGGGTTCAGGTTTAAGAAAACGTGCTTGGAATATCCTTTTGGAACCTAGTATCATTTTGGGTCCCTTCCTTTGTGAGGGTGTAATGTGGCACCCGATTTAATGG